TTCATTGATTTTCTTGAAAACTATTCTAGATAGAATGAATCCAAAAGATGCATATGAAAGCTGAATGTTTGGAGAATCCAGCAAGTATTTATATATTACTGTGGTTTTATCCGTTTGTCTGTAATTCGCTTTCAAAGTTGAAAAAATGCTCGAAAAAGCAGTGTTTTTACATTTTATTGATTTTCTCGAAAACTATAATACATAGAATGAATCCAAAAGATGCATATGAAAGCTGAATGTTTGGGGAATGTATTAAGTATTGTAAGTATGTTCAAATTAGAAAAAATGCTCACCAAGTAATTAGTTTTTTGTTGATATAAAAACAGGAAAAATCATACTTACCTAACAAAAAATAGCTGTTTGCAATATGTATCATCGTATATTAAATTAATTTGTCAACTATCGGGTCGTGTGTTGTATACAGGATAAAGTAAATGCTGCGACATTTAAATTATTTATTCCTCTATTAGACAAATAATTGGTCTCGGTACAGCGTCTCCAAGAAGGACGTTAAGGGATTCGATAAGCTCGAATTTGTTAGCGATGTGTTCGTGCAACAACCGTCAAACCTCCAAGAAACAAGCGAAATACAAAGACCAACGCCACATCTTTTACAATATATATATATTTCCTCTAATTAAATACAAGCTAAATACATTTTGTTGGTTAGTAAGTTCGTTTGCGGGATGTTCCAGTATGCGATGTGCACGGAACGGGCGAAAGAACTTACTAACAAACAAAAAAGTGTGTTTATTAGCTGAAGCTGCCCCCTTGCTCATACGAATAAATTCATGCGTCATCGAAACAGGAACGAAACACCCCCCAAGTTGCGAGGGGCGAGTCGAGTGTGTTTGAATTTCAATGACAGAACCAGATATTCTTGCTATTTTCAACTTAAAGACGTATTGTCTCCCTTAATAACTAATTAATAAAACAATTAAATCTTGTCCGACGCCGTCTTGACAACGGGACCGGCCAACTCGTTTCCTAAACTACAAACAAAAAAAAAACCTTTCTTTTGTTTCCCCAAAAAAATGTAAAACCTCTCTTCTTTTCATTTCGACACGTAAATTAAATTGATTGATTCTCGTTACCCCAAAAAAAAAAATAATAATTAAACAATTATTAAAACAAAACAATGAAGACGACTTCATCAGTTGAGACTGCCAATTTGAACGTAGTCCAAGATGTGCTCCTCGATAATCTTTCCGCCGTTGCAGATCGGAATTGTGATCGGCAACGATGGCATGGTCCAACCATCCGGAGTGTCCAAGCCGACTCTGAGATTGGCCTTGGTGTTGCCAATGACGAAATGGTTCTCGGACAACGGAAACATATCCTTTAGAAGCATCCTGCAATTATAAAAAATGTTAAAGCATTAGCATTGATTGAAACGCGGGCTTAGTCCTGATGTAAATACCAAATGTTTTGGTCGGCGACGACGTGCACTTTGGGAATGGGGAATCCGTTGAAGGGACTCGCGACCGGCAAAGTGTACGCGCCCATGTCCTCGAAGATCAACCAATCGCCGATCTTCATCTCGGGCAACATGTGGTTCTCGACCACTTGATCCAGCCCATCGCACGTCGGTCCCCACACGCTGCTGCGGTAGTACTTTGCTCCCGCGTTAATCTGCAAACGGTTCAGAATTCAATTCAATTGAGTCGCTTGTGTTAAGTTCGTTAATCTACCTTCAGTGGGATTGGTACGACGTGCTGATGATCGTACAGCAAACAATTGAAGCTTCCGTACACGCCGTCGTTGATGTAATACATGATGTGCTTGTTCGGATTGCCGGTGACCGGATCGCTGACATTCACGGTTCTGATCGAATGGATGTTGCAAGCCAGGGTGTAAGCAGATGCCACGTAAAAACGGCCCGGCTCGGCGATCACATTCACAGCAGGATCTGGGAAGTAATCTTCCAATGCCCTGTTTATTATATCGGCGATCTGAAAATACACAACAACATTTAATTCTATTACTACTAGCACATTCAAATACTTGTACAGACTTGATAAGTAGTAGATGTGTAGATGATTTGCTTTAATCATATTGTTGTCAAAACACTTTAATTTAAGTTATATAATATTATTGTTTACTTTGCAAACTGTACGATTAATTAAAGTTAACAGTGTAATATTTACCTTGTCGATGGATGATCCAGTTCCACCAGGATATCCACCTCCTAAATCAAGCAAGTTGAAATTGAATCCCAATGTCTCAGCATAGTCGAAGATGTCGCGCGAAGCAGCGATGGCCCTGCGGAAGACAGCCGGTTCGCCGCATCCGGAACCCACGTGGAAGCTGACGCCGACGACGTCGATGCCCAAGGAGCGCGCCAGGTCTAGGAGCTGCGGAGCCTCAGACACTGGATCGCATCCGAACTTCATACCCAGCTGGCACTGAGCGATCGTGGCGTCGCAACGAATGCGAATCACCATTCTAAGAGAAAATTGTTTGTAAAACCGTTAGCAAAAGATGGGATCATGTACTCACTTGGCGTCAGGAAAAATGTCTTTGATCTTGAACAGTTCAGATTCGTTATCGAAGGTCATCAAGCGGACACCGGTGGCGGCGGCATGTCGGATGTGGCTCATTGGCTTTGCCGGATTGGCGAAGATGATTCTGGAGGGGTTCACACCCAGAGTCAAGACCTTGTTGATTTCGGTCTTCGAGGCGCAATCGAAGCCGGTTCCAAGAGCGGCCAGCGTTTCCAGAACCGTATGACTGTCGTTACATTTCACAGCTGAGAACACTGAAGCATAAATACAAACGCAAAATACATGAATAACAAAACTTACCATAGTGAGGTTCAACCCTGGGCATAGCCGCTTTGAAGATCTTGTGCTTCCTGACGATGTCGCCCACATCGCAAATGTAGAAGGCCTCCTCTTGGACGCCGGACTCGACGATGTCCTGGAGTATGGACAGAGCGTCGGTGTTGCTGTCCAAAACGTGAACGCGTTCGTCTAACTTCGTGATCTTCATTTTATTTTGTAAAAATGGGTTTTTTTTTATATGAGGGAAACGTTAAAAATAGCAAAAATCTCAAATCGTAATAAGCAAGCTGCAAAACAAAAAAATAACATTAGTTAGAGATGGTTCTTGGTCTGAAAAGAATGTCCGTTCTTACGAGGCAGCAGGTGCTCAGAATGGTCCAGGTTGTGTGTGTGAGCGGGTGAAATTAAAACCTGGTCAGAGCTAGCGCAGCCAGGGAGGTTCTGCGTTTAAATAGAGTCTCCAGTTGCAAGGAAAATGTTCGCTGCAAGAAGCCGGTGTAACTCTTGCTACAGCACAACCCTAGAAACAAACAAAAAAGAAATTAGTATTCACTTAAAAAATGCATAATTAACTTATGTTTTGAAAATGGATATACAAAACCAACAAGTACAAACATACAAAAAATATGCAAGCACAAAATGTTTACTAACATTTCGAACATAATAAATGATCCATGGTGAAGTGGAGTTAGAAATATCTAAGAACAAAACATTATTTGCGAATGCATTTTCATAAGCATTTTCTTACACGTGCCGTGCATTGGAAACAAGTTCAGACAAGTCCAGACACTGAATGAAAGACGGCCTTATGGGGACGCAAACGTTTTGTTCAGTGAAGATTTATATATAATAATAAATGATCATTTGTAAAATAACAAGAATTTATTTATAATTTCTATTTAATACTTAAACGATCATATACCAAATAATGAAAGTTTATCGTAGTTAAAAAGGGTCGTCTGTCTGATCATTAGTGGTTTCCAACCTTGTAAATAGAAACAGTAAATCATTAAACAGACATTAAATTTTCGTTTTTCTCGCATTAAATGTCAATTTATTTAATTATCAGCTTATATTTTGTGACATATTTTCGTTTGTAACATTTTCAAATTTACGCATACTTCCATCAGTGTGGAAAATATATTTTTCCTTTGTTTTTCCACAGCGAACTGCGTAACTACTAAAATACTGCCAAGGAAAGCTCTAGCTAGCCGTCCAGGAATATTGCGTGATTGCACAGCTGCGAAATTGAATCGTAAACAAATTCATGTATAAAATAAAAAAAAAAGAGGAGGTTCGAAGAGCAGATCGAAACTCTACGTACTGCACGATTCTAATGATCTATTGAAGCTGATGATTCGTAAGCCAAAAAGAATGCATATGTACGTTATTTAATTAGTTTGGACTTTAACAGTTGTATCTAATATTTGAGGAAAACATTGGCTTAATTACTTTGAATTTTATCAATTTCAAACTGTTGTTTGACTTTGAAGATATGATAGAAGAGTCAACGTCTTTGTTCAATGTGAGGCATTATTGTGAAATATTTATATTTTATTTTATATATTATATTTTATAATAACTCTGATAAGTTTTTCTTAAAAAGTGCGTCAGATTTTATCAATTTTAAACTGTTGTTTTAAAGATATTAATAATGTGCATTGTTTTGAAATGTCTATTTGGAGGGAAGACAAGAAATTGATATTAACAAAATGAATTACTCAATTTAATTAATTAATTGAGGAATTAAAGAGATTTATAATAGAATTACCTTCAAATGAAGAGAAGTAGGGTCTTCTCTTTTATTGCATGCGCACATTCACAAAATGATTTGAGTAGTTCGAAACTAACCAGCCGGTCTGGTTAGCAAATGAGAGAAGATTGAGATTTAATACGAAATGTTAGTTTCGTGAAGCCGCGAATGGACGGAGGTTTTGTAAATAAATAACGGATATTAAAAAATACGGTGAGAAAGAAGAAAATGACCGGCTGGTTTTTATGAGGGATGGTTGGCGAGAACCGCGCACGAACAGGCGCCAACACTTCGAACTAGATTGAACACTATGCAGTGAACTTCTGAGAGGTTGTCCACGCCATCGAGTTGCTTTTATAGCGGCCATCCCCACCGGGATATCTTATCAGAAAGCGCTCTTCAACCCAATTGATAAGATAGATCCAGGCGAGTACAGTCAATGAACAGGATTGTTTTGGAACGGTAGTAACGCTCGAATTATTACTCGCAGACAATCAGAGAATGAGAAAGAAAACAGTGCAAGCAATAGATGGATAGAGAGTAGTGCCGCCAGTAGCAGTAGTAGCTGCTCCGATAAAATTTGTGTCAGACACGATTTTTACAGTATATTGTACAAGTGCCTCGAAGAGTGTCAATATGTACACGGGACACATGATATAAGCATTCGTTCCATCGCTGATAAATGAACTTAATTATTAATATAAAAGCCTATTTACACTATCCACAAAGATATAATGATAATGCGCGCACACGCTTCTTCTTTAATCGCTTTATTCAAAAAGAATTCGTTCTTTCACTCACTCCCATTGTCAGATAATGATATTAAGTAAATATGTTTATGGAACTGACGGACAGCAAAAATCTGGTTAAAGTCAATTGCACCGAACGTTTCCGGTATAAACAGATTTTCGTATCGTTTCGCTGCTTCGTCTCTTCATTCACATCTCGCTTCAAAATTTCATTGTTTTCACTTTCTCGACGACTCGAGACTGGAAAAATATGTTTACGACTCATTTGGTCTCGATTTGATAACTACATTACAATAACCCAGACCACGACGATGGTAATTATTAACACAATCAGATATAAAGAACAAATTATTTCACAGCTTAATATCAATCAATACGAGGACTCATGAGTTTGTATTTAAATATTACTATTTACCAATAATATTTATCAATTTTGGTGCATTTCTTCTGTCTGAAATATGTGTAATCTAATAATTCACAAGAAAACATCACAGTCTAAATACGAGACGAAAATCTTAACAAAGAAAAAAATTTTTGCTTAAATTTATAAAACTGTTCGAAAAAGATTCCGAGACGCATTCGGATTAAAACGTATCAAGAGCAATGTTAGCAAATTGTTTATTGGATTATTTTATTAACGAGCGAAGTCAAAGGCTAACTCCCAAGGCCAAAGATGTTTTAAATTTTTCTTATCCTATTGTTAAATGCTTTAGGATCATGGCTAATCCCGATTCCCAGATCATCTTAACTAATTCTATATTATCTAGAAAAGTATAAACTAGAAAAGTTCTAAATTAATTTTTACACTATCTGCGCAAATGTATGGTGGTTTTACTCGAATGTCCTTGAATCGAGGAGCCACCCGTGAAACAAATTCGTTTCCAATGAAAACGTTGCAGCTTCGCGATTGGTTCTTTACAAATTCAAATTAAACCAATAATGACGCAATTTCCTATCGAAGCTTGCGATTGTTTCTTTTCAATGACATAAGCACTATAAACGCAGTGGTCAAATGCTGATTGGTTAAATGTCGGATGTTACATACATACATACATGCATCAACAGTTTGTGTAAACAAAATCTGGAATTAATTAGTAAATTATCGAGTGACGCATTTGGTTAGTGTTAGTTAGTAATAATAGAACAATTTCTGTGAATTACATGAATTATAATAGGCAGATGTGGGTTTATGTAAGTGGCAGTGAAATTTGACTCAAGGTGAAGAACGCTCAAATTTTCGAATTTGGTATTTTAAATATTTAGTAGTCTGGAATGCTGAACAGTAAATTAAAAAAAAAAATACTTTCAACCATTGCAAAGTTATAAGAATATTTGTTATAATTCATTTTTAATCATCGCGCGTTTGCATAGATCGTGTGCAAATTATTTAAAGTCGGAGACCACTAAACACGTTTATCCTTTAGGCTTAAAGTAAATGGTACAGGTGTGTAAAACATGATTTTAGATAAATTTATTGCATGAAAAACGTTCGTTAAATGTAACAAAATATACTCTCAAACAACGACAGGTACACGCACATTCGATGATGTTAAAAGTACGTTCAACTAGATCGCTGCTGCGATGTCATTCCCACAATCTTCTCGTACATCACTTCTAAACGACCGGTCATCGATGGCTGACCTTTCCTCGTTCGCTTATTCAACTTTTTAAAGGTCTCCTTCCTCTTCTCCATAGCCTCTTTCCTCGCCTCTTCCTTCTCCGCCTTCCTCTTTTCGAACTCCTCCTGAGCTTTCTCCTTATCCTCCGCACTTCTCTTCACAAACCTGCCCATCTTACCACCCCGCTTTCTATCAGTTTCCGGCTTCTGAGCCATTTCATCACCATCTTCCGCTTCAGCAGCCTCGTAAATTTTCGACACATCGAAACCAGGTTTCTCGTTCTTCAGTTCGTTTTTATACTTCCTCAGCATGTGCTTCTTGCGCTGCTCCTGATACTTTTCGACCTTGTACTTGTTGCTGAACTTCTTCTTCAGCGCGAGCCTCTTATTAAACGGTTTCTTGACATCTTCCTTCGCGGATGACTTTTCGCTTTTACGTTCGTTTCTTTTATCCATTTTGGCCATACGAGCAATATTTTCCATTCAATTTTCACGTTCAATACACCTGAAATGAAGGCTCGTGATATAATGGCACAAATAAAAGCATGCGAAGTGGATCAATGAAAACCTAGCTTTACTTTCCGCAATTTGCATTCCAAAATTAAATCATTAAATTTCAATATTATTCCAGGAAACGGAACGAAAAGTAAGCAACAAAACATATGATCGATACGATGTTACGCAACATAAATGTATCCAGATTCAGTGAAAATGACAATCTAATATACAAAATCAATAATGATTAAGAGATGGATGAAACATATTCTTCGTTTATCACATGATTTACCACAAGTTCACACCATATACAAATTAGGAAATAGCACGTCGGTACCTGTCATTGTTATAATATCAATATTTAGTCATTTAATTTTGAACGTTTTCTTGATTGACTCAAATACGTATGTAACGAAATTCTTAATTAATGACAAAGAAAAAAACATAATTACGGAAAAAAAAAAACTATAGATAGCAACAGCTATGTATCCCCACTTTCACAGTTTTAGAGGTCATGCATTAGCTGAATGCTGATAACGAAAAACGTTATCAGCTAGGCAATAATATTCGTATTCGCTTAATAAATCTCAATGGACTGACTATAAAAAAAAATAGCTCAACAAACAGCTGATAACTATAATTCACATAGACAATGTAACATTGACTTATTTAGTGGCTGCCATTACATAGTTCCAGTGATGACAGTCTGCATAATACCAAATTATATGCCCATGGAATACAACTGAACACTGAAACTATTTTCAAATAAAAAAATCTCATAACGGGTGTAGTTGAAACGATTTGTCCTTTCCACCCAATCACATTCACCTGGCTTATGCATAGTGAATATCACTTGATGTCCACATGATTTACAGATCATTGCAGCTTGCCAATACACACTCTATCTTTCTCATTGTACGAGAATCGTAATGCGTCAAGACTAATAAAACTAATAAAAATTGTCAGTACAAATTGACACACAAATCGAAAAAATAAAGAAAAAAATAGAAATAGAAATGACCATGGAGTCGTCGTAAGTCGTCTTACCTTTGGTAGCCACCCGTCGGGTTGGCGTGGATTTTTCGGCGGAATCTTGAAAATTTGTAAGGACCTCTGATTAAAAATCAGTTGAATTCTTTGTCAATCACTGTTATTGTCGCCGATTTCCTTGCACTGAGGACTGACCATTCCGAACACACGCAACTGTTCACCAAAAAGGGATGGACAAGTTTGGACAAGTTATAAAACGCTGCTGCTGATGACAGACGTCAACCGTTCCGGCGCTACCAACATTATGCACATCGACCACATTTTTATACCATTTCGATGTATGCAACCATATGTACAGTAATGTACAATGTACTTTTTCTGCTTTTCCTCTCCACACTTCACTTGGTTTGTGTATCTTACGCAATTTCGTCAGCCACTGCTTTTATTAATTGGAAATTACAAATTACAGCCAAACGGATAAAACCACAGTAATAAATCAATACTTGCTGGATTCCCCAAACATTCAGCTTTCATATGCCTTTTTTGGATTCATTCTACGTATTATAGTTTTCGAGAAAATCAATGAAGTGTGAAAACACTGCTTTTTCGAGCATTTTTTGAAATTTGAAATCGAATTACAACCAAGCGGATAAATCCACAGTAATATATGGATTCTTGCTGGATTCCCCAAACATTCAGCTTTCATATGCATCTTTTGGATTCATTCTACGTATTATAGTTTTCGAGAAAATCAATGAAATGTGAAAACACTGCTTTTTCGAGCATTTTTTCAACTTTGAAAGCGAATTACAGCCAAACGGATAAAACCACAGTAATATATCAATACTTGCTACATTCCTCAAACATTCAGCTTTCATATACATCTTTTGGATTCATTCTATGTATTATAGTTTTCGAGAAAATCAATGTAATGTGAAAACACTGCTTTTTCGAGCATTTTTTCAACTTTGAAAGCGGATTACAGCCAAACGGATAAAACCACAGTAATATATCAATACTTGCTACATTCCTCAAACATTCAGCTTTCATATGCCTCTTTTGGATTCATTCTATCTAGAATAGTTTTCGAGAAAATCAATGAAATGTGAAAACACTGCATTTTTTGAAATTTGAAATCGAATTACAACCAAGCGGATAAATCCACAGTAATATATGAATTCTTGCTGGATTCCCCAAACATTTAGCTTTCATATGTATATATTGGATTCATTCTATCTATTATAGTTTTCGAGTAAATCAATGAAATATGAAAACACTGCTTTTTCGAACGTTCTAATTTCAATTTTTAACTTTGAACGCGCTCCGTCGTTCGAAATCCCGACTATATCGAAATCCCGACAGTGTCTTTTATTATTATAAATTTCTACAATAAATCAATAAAATGTAAAAACACTGCTTTTTCGAACATTTCGTTTTGGAGAGGATGTGAAGAACACTCCAAAGTTACTTAAGATAGAAAAAAAATGTTCTTATTTGATGTACAGACTTTTTTTAAAAATTAAATTCATAAAAATTAAATTCATCTGTGAACACTGAACGTAATGGACATTAGGATAAACTTTGTACTACATTTCGTGATCAATTTTGTGATTTCTTCATGTCCTCTTAACAGCGGTTCATGTACACCACAAAATTGTATGCAGTCTATGAAACTCGATAAAGTGTGTCTATTTTTGTCTACAAATTCATTATGTTTCTTTATGTTAAGACGATATCCAGTATCAATGTTAATTTTACCGAACATTTGAAATTGCACAGTATTGTTTATATGAATTTTACTGGATTCAATAGCAGTCGCACACATAAGCTCAGTCCATATATCTATGTTTACGTCTCTCCTCAAAAGTTGTATAAAATTATTTCATAGACCGGACAAGACCACTGAACTACGGTGTTACAAATAATTTTAAAAAATCTACCGTACTACTTCGTCGTCAATTGTCCCAATTTTGTTGGGCTATAAGAAAAGTAAATTGTTTTGAACTTTTATTAAATAATAATTATAAATACAATAAAAACATTGATTATAAATGTGTGATATCACAATGGGGACTCTGGTGTAGATAAGGCCTCAGCGTCTGGACCCAAAACTTGTCGCACCATGTCGCAGCTGATATCCCATAGGTTTTCAGCAAGTTCATCATCTTGAGCCGCTGAACTCTCTTGACACCTGTAGCAATTATTGAAGTAAACTCCGGTCGTTCCATTAAGCTCTTGAGCTGTGGCACAAAATACTGAAGTACTTGCAGCTTGCAGCAAGGATTTGGTGAATGGTCTTGAGATATAGAATATCAATTTGTAGAACCACCACGAGTTACACAATTTGGAATAAACCATGTTTCCCGGATGCAGACTGAACACGGATATACCAGAGTCCTGAAGTTTCTTCGCGAAGAGACGAGCAAACAGGACGTTGCACAGTTTCGAGTTATTGTAGACCAACATTCCCCAATAATTTTTCGATTCGACGGACAACGTTCCCGGTGATATAGTCTCAGTAGTTAAATCAGCGAATCTGTGCGATTCAGAAGATACGACGACGAATCTACCGCCAACTGGAACCAAAGGACGAAGAAGCAGCGCTAAATAGAAGTGTCCCAGGTAGTTGACTTGGAATGTGGTTTCGAAACCGTCTCCGGTTTTGCTGTACGGTATTCCGCAGACGCCAGCATTCAAGATAACCATATCGATTTTCTTGAAGTTATTCTTCACATCTTTCACGCATTCCTTGACCGACTCCAAAGACTTTAAATCCAAATGGACAATTTCGCAACGAGCCGACCCTTTCTCCGCTACGATCTTGTAAACGCATTCCTGAGCCGACAGCATATTCCTGCATGCAAAAATCACTGTACATCCATGCTTCGCAAGTGCTCTAGCAGTTTCAAAACCAATTCCACTATTGGCACCAGTTATTAATGCCACCTTATTCGTCAGATCCCTTCCATGTAAAACCTTAAATTCATACAATAATTATATTTATATACAAAGCACATATAAATGTGTTACTTGTAAAGCTGTACTACTGGCATCGAATCTCTGCCTGTAATCATTTGCATGATCTTTCTCCTCAACAGCAAATGCCAATCTTGGATCTGTGTATGTGGTTCTTTTATTATCATGATCAACATAGATCACTTTACCCGTATTCTTGTCCACACACCTCTCCCATCCGTAAGGAAGCTCTCCACTCACCAGCTTCTTCTTGCCTGTCCGTGGGTGTGTCCATTGCGTTAACTTTGTCAAATGGTTTGCATAAAAAACACTACCATCCATTGTAACCCTCTCCTCCCAGCCTGGAGGCAATTCATCCTCACTATCACTATCTGGTACATTCATCTTCTACCACTAATGAAATATATCTAAAAAAAAAAAACAAACTACATAAAACTTTCAATTAATTCACTCAGATTCCATTAACATCGAATATTTTATTGGTAAAACATATAAAACAACATTATTCAATTGCTAGATCATTTGGATGTATAATTTTAATGATAGAAGGAATGTGATCTGACAGAAACAAACAAATACATAACTTATATAACTTTATATACCGTGCTGACTGATTATTCGTATAAAGTGTTGCATAACGATGACCTTCCTTTTCAACATATCTATATACAGCAGCGTTTTCCAAACTGAATATTAGTAGCAGTGAGCAATTTTCCAAATATCTGCTAAAGTATAGATACATTCCTGTGCTCTTATCCTTATTGATGTAATACGCGTTCAAAGTTGAAAAATTGAAATTGGAACGTTCGAAA